AAATATATCACGTTAATCATCTCGCGGAGTAGAACGTGAATATACTAGGTCCCGTATTAATTAAAAGGTGGGTCATATTGAAATTTGGGCTCAAAATTGACCCATTTCATAATCATTTTTCCAACACTATCTTCCCTATGTAGGAGAAATCAGTGCATTGATGGAAAAAGTGAAAGGAAAATTAATAATATAAATCATGCCACATGGAAGAGTGTAACCCACAATGTACCTATAGCAGCTTTATTTAATGTTTGTGAAAGTAGCTGCCCTGTAGCCTAAATTTGACATTTGGAAAGTAAACTGACAAGTTGATCGTGAGACGTCTACTGTAGAAATGTCACATCAATCAATCAATCATATGAAGATCTAGTACAAATCTCGGAAGACAAAGTGATAGATGCCTTTTTTTCCAATAAAAAGGCTAATTGACTTGGATTACTTCTACTGTAGGTTATGACAACTCGCCTAGGCCATGGAATGTCGACCTCTACATAGCACATCAACAGAGGTGGTGCATCACTTCAACTACTTTCATTATGACATCGACTAGGTCAAATAGGATAATGATGTGGGGGTGTGAACTTGATTGAACTTGTTAGTTGACTGCCACGTGACGTTCTTAATTATGAGCCTCACTGAAAGAGGCTAACATGGCCTTCCCCTTCCTTGTATATTGGGTTTGGTCTCTGCGCCGAGCATGAATTTGTTAGATATTTTGGCCATGAATACCCACGATAAAGATTTCGTACCATTTTAAAGATATTTTTTCGAACGTTGAAGTTTTATCCACACAACATATGATATACAGCACATACGTGCAAATGGCACTGGACAATGATGGAGATAAGAGTATGTGAGTGGAGGACTGCATGAATTTACGTTCAACAACTTGCTAAAAATTGTAAAAAACGTCGAGCAGACGCAGGAAATAATGACAAAAATGGAGATAAAGGTATTGCGCATGAATACTGATTTGGATCGAAAATATGAAGAATCTCTTTAAAGCGATAAAGAAAATTAAGAGGGTATTTTTGAACATATTTGTATAATTTTTCTCAAATTTTTTGTCGTAAGAAGAGTTTTTAGAGGAAATCTATCTAAGTTAACTCTCTCATAAAGCTTTTCTACAAGAACTAGAAGCTCTAATTTCTCTCGACTTACCTCGTCATGAAGGCATAAAAAGGGTTATTAAATTATCTTTCCTTACGAAGGTATAAATAAAGATTATTAATTTATCTTGACTCACATTGTCGTAGTGTTATAAATAAAGGTGTAACACAAGTTGGCAAGAAGCGCACACTTAAAAATAAGGGAAAATGATGTATATATTGATGTGA